ATCAAGTCTTATATTTTTATTTAGATTAAATAAAATCTTATGATTAATAATTTATAAATTATTATTAATTAAAATATTACTTATCATTTTAAATCCACATGGCATTAATATGTAAATAAAAATACAATATAATCACATTATCGTGTCATATATATCACGTTATATATATCACGTTATTATCAATTATGATATATCAACATATCATATCATTATTAATTATAACATATTAGCATTTCAAATTAGTATCATATAATATAAAATGATAAATGATATTTTGACTAAATAAATTATTAGTCATAAAAATTTATTTGATTCAAAATAAAAGTATAAAAACTTGTAAAAAAATATAAAAACTTAGTTGAATTTTATTAAATCGTTTAGAGATTATTTTGAATATTACAACTAAACCTTTCAAAATTAATACAAGTTTATAAAAATTTATTAATTAATCAACATATTATCTAATTGATAAATTAATAATTTATTAATTTATACATCAATTAATAAAAAAATAATTTATCAAAAGATTTTTTTTGTAAACATTGAACTTAATATACATATATCATGCATAATTTTCTTTTACAACACAAAAACACTACATCAGAATTTTATAATACATTAAGAAAAGTTAAAGATAAAATCTAAAGAGAACAAATTTTAAAAAATAAAACAATTAATATTGAAATCATAGTTTATAAAAAAATTTTAATTAAACTATATATGAATAATTTGGATAAATAAAAAAATTATTAATTTATACATCAAATATGGTTTATGTGTTTTTCTTAAAAATATATTATTTTATAAATTTCATAAATTATTAATTTATTACATTAATTTTGAGTCAAAATTGATTAAAAATATTATTTAATTAAAATTATTAATTTATTAAATATTAATTTATATAAGTTACACCGTAAAATATTTTTGTACAACTCGCAGCTGTCACGGCTGGGCTGGACGGCATCTGTGGCGCATGCAATAGCCAATGTGTTGAGTCAATGGTGAGTGCCATTGGCCAATGGGACTCGCTATGGTTAAGTCAGTTTGGCGTTTTTTGAGATCGGACGTCAAACTTTGTCCATTTAGGAGGTTTGTGTTCCAACGCAAAAGCCAATTTCACGATGGCCTTCTTTCTTTTCTTTTTTTTTTTTTCTTAAGAAATTGTTCTCATCTTTTGTGGATAATTTATCTTTTCAAAAATGAAAACTTTGAGAAAAAAAATTATATCAATCTTGAACAAATATAATAGACAAGGGCTACGATCCTGTTTGATATTGCGTTTGTAGTTCCTATGAATCCTATCATTGAATTTGATGTAAACATAGCGTCAGGGACTGGACAAATTCAGGTAACTTGTTTGATCCGAACCCAAAAAAAAAGGTAACTTGTTTGATAAAATCACAAGTCAATAAATGCAATTATTCATATAAGTACAAAAAAAAAATCAAATTTAGTTTAATGATGGTTACTTCATCTTAAAAAGGTCAAAATTTAAAATTCAAATTTTTAATTTCAAAAATAAAAATAAATATTTCATAAACACAAAATATATTTGATTTATGGTTCATGGTTTAACAATAAAAACAATATTAATCAAATTGACTGTTGGTCTTTAGTAGATTAGGATATTCTTTTCATTTTCTTTGTAATTCTCTAATGGATAAGATCTTTGTGTTTTTGCTTGGACGGGAGAATGGACTAACCTTTTTTTATATACTGAATCTCTAATCCCACGCACCACGGGATATAGGGCTCTTAAATAGATCTACACATTAAGTCTACATTTATTGTATTAATATATTATTATTGGTTACATATATGAATAAATAAATTCAATTATAAGATATAATTGATTGTCGTTTTATCAAAATCAAATAAACTTAATCTATTTTATAAAAAACAAAATAAATATAAATAATATAAATCCATAATTGAGAAAATCTAACATATATAAGATAATCAAAACTTGTCTTATGTTCACATATACAATTCTTTTTTTTTACTTGAATTAATCATATATGTTGAATAATTTAAAACATGTTTAGATATAAACTCGATTCGAGAATCAAATATTTATAATTAAATATGTTATTTTATTTTGTAAACTTAAATTGTTTTTTGATTGGAATTCAACATGAATATAATATTTACATTTGCTTTTAACGAATGATACATGGAATAATTAAAAGCGCACACACTCTCTCTCACGTCGAAGAAGGAAAGAAGAAAAAGCAACTAAAGAGAATCCCATATTGTTAGAATTGTTTGAACCGTATAATAAAAGAATCATAGCCCTGCCGTACGATGAAACGGGATCAAGCAAACCTCGATACCAAACATGGTGCAATGGGAATTTTAGCTGAAATTCTGATTTTGAGCTGAAACTAAGTCCATATTGATTGGCTTTTGTCTCGCAACAAATTATAGAGTGAAATAATTTGAGCTTGTTTGTTTTGTTTAAGTATTCACAAAGAATCAGTACAAATTACATCAATCTTCAATTAAATTAACCCGTAATTTTTTTTTGCAAAAGAAAAAATAAAAAGGAGACTATTCATAACGAATTTTCATTTGTTTTTATTTCCCTTAGGGGAATGACTATAAAACAGACAAAATCCAGCGCAAATTCAATACCGACACTGGGAAACTTCGTTCCGATTTTAGGATGAGTTGCCCCAGGCTGCGACATTTTCCAAGATTGATTAATCCAAGCTAAAATACCAAGAAACCCACGCCGATACGAAAGTAACAAAATTACAGCCAGATTCCATTGATTAAAGTTACTTTGGTTAGGTGAGCTTTAGACCATGCCCATTGTCGAATTTAGTTTAAATTTTTCTATCTTTGGATAATTTCATAAATACTAAAAAGTAGTACTTGCTACGTATTGTCTAAAGTTATAGTATAAGTTTCTATTTCATTATATTTTTTCCTTTTTTGGTTTTGTTGACTTTGGAAATAGTGTTTGTCATCATGTGTCAATTTCCTTGGACGTTGGCTTTGAATCTATTGGCTTTAGAGCCTTGAGTTCCTGAATGTTCTGCGGTCTTCGATTATATTTATACGAAAAGTCGTTAAATGTTAGGCCTTTGTCTTTCATTAATTAGGATTTTGAGACTTTGAAAATTTTAATTGTGGATTTTGATATGGTTAAAATGCAAAAAAAATAACGGTTAAAATGGATTCATTTAAAAGATAACCAACATCTAATGTGGATTAATAAAATTGGAAAATTTTGAATAAAATATTTTTAAAAAATTATATTATTTAAAATTTTAAAGAATATTTTTATTATATTTAATTAATTTTTATTTTTATTTTAATTAAATAATTTTTTATAATTAATAATTAATTAACTGTTGTTAACCAAAATCTTATTTTACTAAATTTTTGAGCAATTATGTAAAATAATTTGCTACAAAATTATAAATTTATTAATGTTCTTTAAATAATATAAATTATCTCTAACGTCAATTACAACTGCTTCTGAATTGTAATTTGTGAATAAAAATGAAAGGCATTGTAAATCTTTTGGTACAATTTGGACGATGAAAAAGCCAGAAAGTCGGTCCTCACTGTTCACTGCGAGCTTTAAGGTACATGAAGGCCTTTTAAATATAATATTAATAAAAAAAATCCAAAAGAAGGAAAGCAGAAAAAATATAAATAAAATGTTTAAAATATTCAAGTGCTTGTTTTATCTTTTATTTTTCTTCTCCTGTTATTCTACCATGAACAGTGTGTTCACTAATTCTTGGTTCATACGCTTAATTTCTATAAAATAAATGTTACGATAGTGAAGAATATTCACTAAATAATCATTTTTAGATAGTATTGGTTAAAGATCTCTAGTAAGATTGGTTGAGGATTCAAAATGTGTACACTACCAATAGTCAAATGTCAGAATCTTCTATTCCGAACCAAAATTTGGTTTTACCAATAGTGCTTTTTATTTACTTTTTTAAGTTTTAGTCAAGATTCTGGCTTGAAGTAAAAAGAAAGGCTAAATTTCAAATCTTGCTAGCCGATGACATTTGATTTACATCTGCATAGGACAACTTCTGCATTTTAATAACTACGATAATAAAAATTAATAAAAAAATTTCTAAAAAGACATTAAGGTTTTGAGTTTACCGTAATTAAGATTTTAAATTTAATGCTTTAGGGTTTCAAGATTTATAAATTTACTTTATTAATGAATATGGATATTTGATTCTATGATAAATATATGTACTTTTATTTGAAAAATTAAATTAATTTTTTTAGATAAAAATTTTACGTAATTAACTGCGATAATTTTTTTTCATGATTTCATTAATTGAAAATATAAAACATTATAAAATAATTTCCCATCTGAAAAAGTTATGATCAGTAGAAGAATTTAAAACCGTGCAATATTGATGTTTGTCCTCTATGAATTTATTTTTATATGATATCATATCCTTAAAAAAAAGTTTGTTATATTTGAATACTAAATTAATTACATTTTATTAAATTAAAGAATTTAAAGCAAAGTATAATATTATTATAAATTGAAAAGTCAAGGTGAATGGCCTTTGTTTCACTGTCTTTGTAATTTTTATATTAACATTTAGGAAGAATAAGAAAAATATAAAAAAGGTTTATCAGCTATAGTAAACCGATATCGTTGAAAAAAACTTTCATTTAATTTTTTTTATAAAATAAAAAAAAAAAGAAAAAAGAAGAAGAGGGAGTTGAAAGAAAAAGAAAAGGAGGAAGCTTAGAGAAAAAGGAGAAAAAGAGGAGGGCCAGCGAAATGCAAAACCGAGTATCAAAGAGACCCCTGTACCTGTGTATCGTAAAAGCACTGCGTGTGTCAGCTCTCTCTCTCACACCCTCACTAATATATTCCTTTTTTTACTATTTTTTACTCCCCTTTTATTTCACTCCTATCTAAGAGACCCTAAAATTTCCCCTTTTTGATCCCTTGATTTTCTTCTTCAACACCATATAAACATCCCTCACAAAACTCTATTATATAAAAAACCAAACCAAACCAAACAGACACTTAAGCAAGCCTCGCCCTCCCCTCTCTCTTTCCGTCTCTTTTCTTTCCATTTGCTTTTGGGGTTTTCTCTCGCTTTTCTTCTCTTGAATAATCTCTCTCGAATCTCTTCCCCTCTATTTTCATGCTCCATACTTTGGATGTGCAAGCATCCGTCGCTCTTCTCTCTCTCTTTTCTCAGGTCCTCTCTCTCTCTTTCTTTCTTTCTTTCTTTCTTTCTTTCAGTATCTCTGTATTTTATTTATCTAATATCCGATCTGTTTGGGGGTTTTTTTTTTTCGATTTTTAAAATCTCTGATTTCTGTTTTTTAGGGTATTATTTTGTTCTTTATCTTTTTGATTTTTTAATCTTTTTGGGTGTGTCCTTGTAGTAGTTGGAAGTAGAGAAGTAGAGGTGAGATGGCGAGCATAAGATCGACTTTGCCTTCTAGGCTTCGCCAGCTTTTGTCTGGCGAAACTTCCACCGGTCCTTCTGTCAAACTCGACTCTGAGCCCGTAAGTTTTTTTTTAATATATATTATTTGTTTAAATTTTTCGTGAAAATGATTTCTGATTAGGGTTTATCGGAATCTTGTATTGTTTGGTGACCCATAAGGGTTCATATTTACTCTTTCGTCGTAGTAATTAGTATCTAATGTTGCCTTCGTTTCTTTATGTTTTCTATGTTATTTTTGGGTTGTTGGTATATGGAATGTTTGGCTGATACTACTGAGAGAGATTAATGCTTTAAGACCTAATTGATGTTTAGCTTGTTGTATTCGTTGTGGTCACAAATTTGTTATGTTATGTGCATTTTCTTGAGAAAAAAAGTGTAATGGCTTAAACAGAAGACCTTCTATTGTTTGGACGCTTGTTACATTCTATCTACTTAAGACCCTAATTTGAAATAAGCATTCAGTACCTTGCTTTGCAACTGTTTTCTCTACCAATCAGGGCAATAGTTTGGTGTCATTTATGATCTTTCACAATGTTGGGCTGACAGGATAATGCACATTTAATCAAGAAAATCATTCATATTAAGTAAGAACCGGGAGGTTTTAAAGATTACTTGAGGGACCTGTTTTTAATTTTGTGCTAAACTAGAAAATTGAAGCATGTAGTTTGTCATGGACTCTCGTCACATTTTTGTTACATTGTCTTTTTTGGTTTTAGATAAGAAGTTATGCTAGTAAATTGTGCATTTCATGGTATTTTCCACTAGGACTGAAATTTTCTGCATGGTTCTAGGCTTTAATGTAGACTGCTTACATTCTAAGAATTGTTTTTGTCAATATATGGATGAAATTGTGTTATATGGTGAAACATATATGGCATTTGTTTGAGTTTAGGGAGGACAGTTCTTTTGCTTCCATTTAAATCTAAATGTTTTAGACAGTTTAGATTTTGCTCAATGCTAGTTCTTTTGCAACCTTTTACTTTTAGAATATTTTATTGTTGTGTGGTTTAGTGCTGGTGCTTGTAGTTGGATGTCTTTGTTCTTCTGTAAACTTTTTGGTTTGATAATGAACTATAATTGTATATAATCTATTTATATATCTGCTATCCTAACTGTCAATAACAATTTGACTTTAAGATAAATATATGTACATTATTTCAAAGATATAATAGCTATTATTATATCACTATCTATATGACTTTTAGACCTTTGACAAAGTGCTTCTTATCTGCTTGAGAGCATCTATTTTCTCTTACTACATTGCGAAAGTATTAGAAGATTTATATATTTTTTTATCATTTTACATGTAAGATTTTTGGATTCTTCTCTTAATTATTATTAGAGAAGCATTCGCATGTGCATTTTGCTAGAAGTAAACAAAAATGTCACTTTTAACAAAGTGGTATGAATAATTATAATCCACCAGTTAGCCTAGACTTAGCAAGCATTTTATGCAATGAATAAGGGGTGATGTTTTGAGTTCCCATGGCATTACATGGTCCCAATGTTTTGACCTTCATATTTATTGAGCTTCAAATTTGTCTTTAGTTTTATGCTTTAAATTTAGGTGTTCTTAGATTATCATTCACTACATTGTTTATTTTTTGCGACACATATTTGATTTGACTCCCATTGTCCTTTAGGGATTAAATGTCAAACATGCAGACACACTCATGCACATGCTTCTGGGAACTCATGTATATGTTAATTTACATACTGTTTGTCATGAGCTTGCTTGAGTGGAATATATATTGGTTGCGTGAGCTTGCCTGAGTGGATTAGAAGAAGCTATGTTTATTTTTTTTTAGATCTTTTTCTGAAAAATAAATCCAATATTTTGCTGTCTCTTGCAGCCTCCCCAAATTAAAGCATTTATTGATAAAGTGATCCAGAGTCCGTTACAGGATATAGCAATACCTCTTTCAGGCTTTCGATGGGAGTACAGTAAGGTGATTTCATACTAATTATTTTGCTTGGTTACCCCCTTTTGTGGTTCTTGACTCACTTGTTACTTTTAATTCAGGGGAATTTTCATCATTGGAGGCCACTGTTTCTTCATTTTGATACATATTTGAAGACGTACTTGTCTTGTAGGAATGACCTTCTCCTATCAGATAAAATTCTAGAAGATGATATTCCATTTCCAAAGCATGCAGTCCTTCAAATATTACGAGTAATGCAAACAATATTAGAGAATTCCCACAACAAGAGTTCATTTGATGGGTTGGAGGTATGTTGAGATGGAGTCAGAAATTATTTTTTTAACTACATTGACTTGCAGACTTGTTTAGGTCCTACTAACATGTTATTTATGGGCTTCTCCAATATTGTTTTATCTGATATAACTCTGTTATTCTCCTTTCAGCATTTCAAGCTCCTACTTTCATCCACTGATCCTGAAATTCTTATAGCTACACTGGAGACTCTTTCTGCACTTGTTAAAATAAACCCATCGAAGGTCCATGGGAGTGGAAAGTTGATTGGATGTGGTTCAGTGAACAGCTATCTGCTGTCTCTTGCTCAGGGATGGGGGAGCAAGGAGGAGGGATTGGGTCTGTATTCATGTGTTTTGGCAAATGAGAGAACACAGGAGGAAGGCCTTAGTTTGTTTCCATCTGACGTAGAACATGATCGTGACAAGTCTCAACACCGGATTGGTTCTAGCCTTTATTTTGAATTGCATGGGCTCAATACTCAAGGCACTGAAGAAAGCAGTGGCAATGTGAGTTCCACTTCAAGAGTCATACGCATGCCAGATCTACATTTGCGAAAGGAGGATGATCTGTTAATAATGAAGCAATGTATTGAGCAGTACAATGTACCTACTGAGCTCCGGTTTTCGTTGCTAACAAGAATTAGATATGCGCATGCCTTTCGGTCGCCCAGGATATGCAGGCTGTACAGCAGGATTTGCCTTCTTGCATTTATCGTGCTTGTTCAGTCTAATGATGCTAATGATGAGCTGACATCATTTTTCGCAAATGAACCAGAGTATACAAATGAATTAATAAGGATTGTGCGGTCAGAAGAAACTATTCCTGGAACTATTAGAACTCTTGCGATGCTTGCGTTGGGAGCACAGTTAGCTGCATACTCAGCATCTCATGACCGGGCTCGAATTTTGAGTGGGTCAAGTATTAGTTTTACAGTAGGAAATCGAATGATTCTCCTGAATGTGCTCCAGAAGGCAGTTCTGTCACTGAAAAGCTCCAGTGATCCATCATCTCTTGCTTTTATTGAGGCTCTTCTTCAGTTCTATCTGCTTCATATTGTGTCATCCTCTGCATCTGGGAGTAATATTAGAGGGTCAGGAATGGTTCCAACCTTTTTACCTCTTTTGGAGGATTCTGACCCAAATCATATGCATCTTGTCTATTTAGCTGTAAAAGCTCTACAAAAGCTCATGGATTACAGTAGTTCAGCTGTGTCGTTGCTTAGAGAACTGGGTGGAGTGGAGCTTTTGGCTCAGAGGCTACACATAGAAGTGCAAAGAGTTATTGGTATGTCTGGGGGAAATGATAATTCAATGATCATTGGTGAATGCTCAAGATACAATGATGACCAGTTGTACTCCCAAAAGAGGCTTATCAAGGTGCTTTTGAAGGCTCTTGGTTCTGCTACATATGCCCCAGCAAACACCACTAGGCCGCAGAGTCCTCAAGACAGTTCTCTGCCTGGTACTTTATCACTCATATATGGGAATGCAGATAAATTTGGAGGTGATATTTACTGCTCAGCTGTGACTGTTATGAGTGAAATTATCCATAAAGATCCAACTTGTCTTCCGGTACTTCTTGAGCTAGGTCTTCCAGATGCCTTTTTATCTTCAGTGTTATCTGGAGTACTTCCATCTTCAAAGGCTATAACATGTGTTCCGAATGGCCTTGGTGCCATTTGTCTTAATGCCAAAGGCTTGGAGGCAGTGAAAGAAACTTCAGCGTTGCGATTCCTTGTTGACATCTTTACCAGCAAGAAGTATGTGCTGGCAATGAATGAAGCAATTGTTCCTTTGGCTAACGCAGTTGAAGAGCTTTTGCGCCATGTATCTTCATTGAGAAGCGGTGGTGTTGATATAATCATTGAAATTGTAAATAAAATAGCTTCCTTTGGGGACAGCAGTAGCTTTTCTGGGTCATCATCTGTAGAAAAAGTTAATGGGAGTACTGCAATGGAAACTGATTCTGAAGACAAAGGAAATGAAGGGCATTGTTGTCTGGTGGGTGCAGTGGATTCTGTAACTGAAGGAATCAGTGATGAGCAGTTTCTTCAATTGTGCATTTTGCATCTGATGGTTTTGCTTCATAGAACAACAGAGAATTCTGAAACATGTCGCCTATTTGTGGAGAAATCAGGAATTGAGGCTTTACTGAAACTTCTTTTAAGGCCCAGTATTGTACAGTCATCTGAGGGGATGTCTATTGCTTTACATAGCACCATGGTTTTTAAAGGGTTTACTCAGCATCATTCTGCTCCTCTTGCACGTGCCTTCTGTTCTTCTCTTAGGGAACATTTGAAGAAAGCTTTGACTGGATTTGGTGCAGCTTCAGCCTCCTTTTTACTGGATCCTAGGATGATGCCTGATGATGGAGTCTTTTCTCCCCTTTTTCTTGTTGAATTCCTTCTATTTCTTGCTGCTTCTAAAGATAATCGTTGGATTAGTGCTTTGCTTACAGAACTTGGTAATGGCAGCAAAGATGTTCTGGAAGACATTGGTCTTGTCCATCGTGAAATTTTATGGCAGATTGCTCTCCTTGAAGATGCCAAGCTTGAAATGGAGGATGATGGTGCTAGTGCTAGTTCTGCTGAGTCACAACAACGGGAATCTAGTGCAAGTGATACTGAAGAGCAAAGGTTGAACTCCTTTAGGCAGTTCCTTGATCCATTATTAAGGAGAAGGACGCCAGGATGGAGTATTGAATCCCAGTTCTTTGACCTGATAAACCTTTATCGTGACCTTGGCCGTGCTACTGGCTTTCAACAGAGATTGGGTACTGATGGCTTAAACATGCGGTTTGGAACCAATCATTCTACTTCATCAGATGCCTCTGGATCTGTCAATAAGAAGGAATTTGACAAGCAGAGGTCATATCACACCTCTTGCTGTGATATGGTGAGGTCACTTTCCTTCCACATAACCCATTTGTTTCAAGAGTTGGGAAAAGTGATGTTACTTCCTTCTCGTCGTCGGGATGATACTGTTAATGCATCCCCTGCATCAAAATCTGTTGCTTCTAGTTTTGCCTCTACTGCATTGGATCATATGAACTTTGGAGGTCATGTGAATTCTTCAGGCTCAGAAGCATCCATATCAACAAAGTGTCGCTACTTTGGTAAGGTTATTGATTTCATTGATAGCGTTCTTCTGGATAGGCCCGATTCCTGCAATGCAATTATGCTAAATTGCTTATATGGATGTGGAGTTGTTCAATCAGTATTGACAACTTTTGAAGCTACCAGTCAATTACTATTTGCGGTTAATAGGGCCCCAGCATCTCCAATGGATACAGATGATGGCAATGTAAAGCAGGATGAAAAAGAAGATGGAGATCATGCATGGATTTATGGTCCATTAGCTAGCTATGGTAAACTTATGGATCACCTGGTGACGTCTTCTTTCATTTTGTCTCCATTCACCAAACACCTGCTTGTTCAACCACTTGCGAGTGGAGATGTTCCTTTTCCTAGGGATGCTGAAACTTTTGTGAAGGTGCTTCAATCCATGGTGCTTAAGGCAGTGCTTCCAGTTTGGATTCACCCACAGTTTACTGACTGCAGTTATGATTTTATCACTACAGTTATATCTATCATTAGGCACATTTACTCTGGTGTTGAAGTGAAAAATGTTACCAGCAGCAATACTGCTCGTATTACTGGGCCCCCTCCAAATGAAACAGCCATAGCAACAATTGTAGAGATGGGATTTTCCAGGTCCAGGGCAGAAGAAGCTTTGAGGCAAGTTGGATCTAATAGTGTGGAGTTGGCAATGGAGTGGTTATTTTCCCATCCAGAGGAAACCCAGGAGGATGATGAACTTGCTCGTGCACTTGCCATGTCCCTTGGGAACTCTGAATCTGACACAAATGTAGATGTTGCAAATGACAGTAGCCAGCAACTTGAAGAAGAGATGGTCCAACTTCCTCCTGTTGAAGAGTTGTTGTCAACATGTACAAAGCTGCTTCAGATGAAAGAACCTCTAGCATTCCCAGTTAGGGACCTTCTTGTATTGATATGCTCCCAAAATGATGGTCAATATAGGTCCAGCGTCATTTCCTTCATTCTTGACCAAGTGAGAGATTCTAGTTCTGCTTCTGATAGCAGAAACAATTCACTGCTCTCTGCTCTTTTCCATGTTCTTGCTTTAATTCTTCACGAGGATACGGGGGCACGGGAAATTGCCTCAAAAACTGGACTGGTAAAACTTGTGACTGATTTACTTTCAGAGTGGGACTCCGGTTCAGTTGACAAGGCAAAACGCCAAGTTCCGAAGTGGGTAACAACTGCTTTCCTTGCTCTTGATAGGCTGCTTCAGGTGGATCAAAAATTGAATTCTGATATTGTTGAGCAGTTGAAAGGGGAAAATCTTAGTAGCCAGCCGACATCTGTCAGTATTGATGAGGAGAAGAAAAATAAGTTGCATTCTTCATTTGAATCACCAAGACATATAGATATTCATGAGCAGAAGAGGCTAATTGAGATTGCTTGTAGCTGTATAAGGAACCAGTTTCCATCTGAGACAATGCATGCTGTTCTGCAGCTATGTTCTACTCTGACTAGAACCCATTCTGTTGCTGTTTGTTTTCTTGATGGTGGGGGTGTAAGTTCTCTTCTTTCATTGCCGACAAGTAGTCTTTTTCCTGGGTTCGACAATATTGCTGCTACCATTATCCGTCATGTCCTTGAAGATCCTCAAACCTTGCAGCAGGCAATGGAAGCTGAGATAAAGCACAGTCTTGTGGCAATGGCCAACAGGCATTCAAATGGAAGGGTCAGTCCACGTAATTTCCTTGTCAACCTAAGTTCAGTGATTTCTCGTGATCCAGTAATATTTATGCTGGCTGTAAAGTCTGTCTGCCAAGTTGAGATGGTTGGTGAAAGGCCTTACATTGTTTTGATTAAAGACCGTGACAAAGATAAATGCAAGGAGAAGGAAAAGGAGAAGGAGAAAGCATCAGACAAAGATAAAACACAACAAAATGATGGGAAGGGTAATTTGTGCAATATGAACTTGGCAGGTCCTGGGATTGGGCATGGAAAATTTAATGATTCAAATTCCAAGTCAGTTAAAATGCATAGAAAATCTCCTCAAAGCTTTGTAAATGTGATTGAGCTTCTTTTGGATTCAGTTTGTGCTTTTGTACCTCCCTTGACAGATGATGTTAGAACAGAGGTGCCTGTTGATGCACCATTATCAACTGATATGGAAATTGATGTTGCTGCTGTCAAGGGTAAAGGTAAAGCCATTGCAACTGTGTCTGAGGAGAATGAAGTTTCTGTTTTGGATGCCTCTGCATCACTTGCAAAGATAGTATTCATCTTAAAACTTTTGACAGAGATTCTGTTAATGTACTCTTCATCCGTTCATGTCCTCCTCCGGAGAGATGGTGAATTAAGTAGCTGCAGGGTCCCTCATCAAAGGGGCTCAACTGGTTTATCCATTGGTGGAATATTTCATCACATTCTTCACAGGTTTATTCCATATTCCCGGAATTCAAAGAAGGAAAGGAAAATTGATGGTGACTGGAGGCATAAACTAGCAACGAGAGCTAGTCAATTTCTAGTTGCATCTTGTGTGCGTTCTGCAGAGGCAAGGAAGAGAATCTTTGCAGAGATTAATTGTATTTTCAATGACTTTGTTGATTCCTCTGATGGTTTCAAACCTCCAAGCAGTGATATGCAGACTTTTGTTGATCTGCTAAATGATATACTAGTTGCTCGTACCCCGACTGGTTCATGCATCTCAGCAGAAGCTTCTGCCACTTTTATAGATGTTGGTTTGGTTGCATCATTAACACGCACCCTTGAAGTGTTGGATTTGGATCATGCTGAGTCACCTAAAGTTGTCACAGGGCTTATCAAAGCTTTGGAACTTGTAACCAAGGAGCATGTCCATTCTGCTGATTCTTCTGCTGTCAAAGGTGAGAATTCAGTCAAACCTGCTGATCATAATCAGTCTGGGAGAACAGATAATGTTGTCGATGCATCACAGTCCATGGAAGTGGCATCTCAGTCCAATCATGATGCAGTTGCAGCTGATGGTGTTGAGTCTTTCAATACCGTCCAAAACTATGGTGGCTCTGAAGCTGTTACCGATGATATGGAACATGACCAGGATCTTGATGGAGGTTTTGCTCCTGCTACTGAGGATGATTATATGCAAGAAACCTCTGAGGATGCAAGGGGTCTTGAAAACGGTGTAGAAACTGTGGGGATTCATTTTGAAATCCAGCCCCATGAGCAAGAAAACCTTGATGATGATGAGGATGAGGAGATGTCTGGAGATGATGGGGATGAAGTGGATGAAGATGAAGATGACGATGATGAGGACCATAATGATTTGGAGGAAGATGATGTACATCACGATCTGTCTCATCCTGACACAGATCAAGATGATCATGAGATTGATGATGATGAGTTTGATGATGAAGTATTAGAAGAAGATGATGAGGATGATGGGGATGATGAGGGTGGAGTTATTCTAAGGTTGGAGGAGGGTATCAATGGAATGGATGTGTTTGACCATATTGAGGTTTTTGGCAGAGATCACAGCTTCGCCAATGAAACTCTTCATGTAATGCCAGTTGAAGTTTTTGGTTCTAGACGTCAAGGGCGTACTACATCCATTTACAGTCTTTTGGGGCGCAGTGGTGAGAATTCAGCCCCTTCAAGGCATCCTCTTTTATTGGGCCCTTCATCACTACGCTCAGCCTCTCAAAGACAGTCAGGTATTTTCCTGTATTCTAATAATAATTTTTTTGGATTTTGTTGTAATTTACAACATAATGTGTATTAATCTGCATCTATAATTTTAACAACCCTCCACATTTCTTTCTATTTTGCTCCCTTCCAGAAAGTGCACATGATATGATTCTTTCAGACAGAAACTCAGACAGCACCTCATCACGGTTGGATACTATTTTCCGGTCTTTGAGGAATGGTCGTCACAGCCATCGTTTGAACTTGTGGGTTGATGAGAGCCAGCAAAGCAGTGGGTCAAGTGCAGCTACCGTACCACAAGGGCTTGAAGAATTGCTTGTTTCCCAATTGAGGCGACCAGTCCCTGTGAAATCTTCTGATCACAACACATCAACAGTGGAACCTCAGACCCATGGTGAAGGTAGTCAATTACAGGAATCAGGGGCTGGTGCAAGGCCTGAGAATTCTGTAGAAAACAATATAAATAATGAAAATGCTAGTGCGCCTCCATCTGCAGCAGTTGATACGTCTGTCAATGTTGATGTGAGACCTGCAGTAAACGATTCTCTACAAGGAACTGATGCATCCAGTATACATTCACAATCTGTTGAAATGCAATTTGAGCAGAATGATGCAGCTGTTCGCGATGTTGAAGCAGTGAGCCAAGAAAGTAGTGGTAGTGGGGCTACTTTAGGGGAAAGCCTCCGAAGCCTTGATGTTGAGATTGGAAGTGCAGATGGCCATGATGATGGAGGAGAAAGGCAAGGTTCTTCAGACCGAACTCCTGATCCACAGGCTGCTCGTGTGAGAAGAACAAATGTGTCTTTTGGGAATTCTACAGCTACTGGTGGGAGGGATGCTCCTCTTCATAGTGTTACTGAGGTTTCAGAGAATTCTAGTCGAGAAGCAGATCAAGATAGTACAGCTGCAGAGCAGCAGATAAATAGTGATGCTGCTTCTGGATCAATTGATCCTGCCTTTTTGGATGCTCTCCCTGAGGAGTTGCGTGCTGAAGTTCTTTCAGCTCAGCAGGGTCAAGTGGCGCAGCCTTCAGGTGCTGAACAACAGAATTCTGGAGATATTGATCCAGAGTTTCTTGCAGCTCTTCCCCCAGACATCCGAGCAGAAGTCCTTGCACAACAGCAAGCACAAAGGCTTCATCAATCTCAGGAACTCGAAGGTCAACCAGTTGAAATGGACACGGTGTCAATAATTGCAACATTTCCTTCAGATTTGCGAGAAGAGGTATGATGTTTGGTATAGTCTGGATAAATTTTAAACTGTAAGTTGAATGTGTCTAAACATTATCCCTTTTGTTGTTTTTATCCTCAGGTTCTCTTAACGTCATCTGATGCTATTCTTGCTAATCTCACACCTGCCCTTGTTGCGGAGGCAAACATGTTGCGTGAGAGATTTGCACATCGCTATCATAATCGTGCCTTGTTTGGTATGTATCCAAGGAATCGCAGAGGTGAATCTTCTAGGAGAAGTGAAGGTATTGGATCCAGCCTGGACAGGATGGGGGGAAGTATTGTGTCACGTAGATCTGTTTCTGCTAAGATAGTTGAAGCTGAAGGAGCCCCTTTAGTTGGCACAGAAGCTCTTCAAGCAATGGTTCGGTTACTTCGGATTGTTCAGGTGCTCTCTCAGTTGGTTAATTTTCCCTTTTGATATTCCTTCTTGATTTTGATCTATGCACTAACTTTTTTAATCCTGCAGCCACTGTATAAAGGTTCATTGCAGAAGCTTCTCTTGAATTTATGTGCTCATAATGAAACCAGAACAGCTCTAGTTAAAATCTTGATGGACATGCTGATGCTTGATGCCAGAAAACCTGGCAGTTATTCAAATGCAATTGAACCACCATACAGGCTTTACGGTTGCCAGAATAATGTTATGTATTCTCGTCCTCAACATTTTGATGGTAAGATAAGATGCACATGAGTTCATAGCCCCTAGTGATTCAATGTAGCTTGTTATAAGGACATTTTCATATTTCTCTCAGCTTTTTTTATTCTTTCTGGGAAAAGATTTCTCTCTGTATAGGTGGATCTTTTACTTTCCTTTTATTATTCATAAGTTTAATGTCTGGAGGAGTTGTATGGTTTGGTTCATGATTAGACCCATAGTATTCAGGTTCTAAGTGGTTTCTTTTGCCTTATCCTTTTCTTTGCAGGAGTTCCTCCTTTGGTGTCTAGACGAGTTCTTGAAACTCTCACTTACTTGGCTCGAAATCATCCATATGTTGCTAAGATTTTACTTCAGTTTAGATTGCCTCTTCCTACCCTACAAGAGCTAAGGAATATTGATCAGTCACGGGGAAAAGCTTTGATGACTGAGGAGCAGCGGGAAGGATATATTTCCATTGCATTGCTTTTGAGCCTTCTCAATCAACCCCTGTACTTGAGAAGTATAGCACATCTTGAGCAGGTGATGACCCTATTCTAAATATGTTATGCATTTTTACATCTTTGTGTCTGTTATTTGCTAATTATGATTCTTGCTTCAGCTGCTTAACCTGTTGGATGTCATCATTGACCATGTGGAAAGGAAACCCCGTCCATCTGAGAAATCAAGGGCATCTTCCACTGAACAAATACCTGCTTCGCAAATTTCAATGTCGGATGCTGACATTACTGCTGAGAAACATGATGCTGCTGAGGTTGCTGATTCATCCACACCCTCAACGTCTGGTGTAAGCAATGAATGTGATGCGCAGACTGTACTGACGAATCTCCCTCGAGCAGAGCTCCGACTTTTATGCTCATTGCTTGCACGGGAAGGGTAAGTTCTATGTCTAAACAATGTATTGTTTTATGCTGTCTATTCCATCAGAAGTCTGGATTTTTACCATTTATCTCTTATGCTTTCAATTGAAGAAAGGTCCACGTTTTCATTTTCTGTAACTTAAGCTTTGCAACCCTCCAAAAGAAAGATAAAAAAAGAAAGAAAGAGGTGACTAGATTTGCACCTCCTATCAAAATAATCATTAACTTTCCATTATGAAATTTTAAACAAGCTTTTGTGCACACTTTCCATTTGCTTGGTCTAATGTTCTGTTTCACACCCAGTTTGTCAGATAATGCATATGGTCTGGTGGCAGAGGTAATGAAAAAGCTAGTGGCTATTGCTCCAAGCCATTGTCATCTGTTTATTTCTGAGCTAGCTGATGCTGTACAAAATTTGATTAAATCTGCCATGGATGAGTTACGGATGTTTGGTGAAGCAGTGAAAGCACTACTCAGCACAACATCTTCTGATGGAGCTGCAATTTTAAGGGTCTTACAGGCACTAAGTTCTCTTGTTGCTTCATTAACCGAGAAAGAAAAGGATCTACAGCTTCTTCCTGAATTGGAGCGTTCTTCAGCTCTTTCTCAGGTGTGGGACATCAATGCAGCTTTAGAACCTTTGTGGATAGAGTTGAGCACTTGCATAAGCAAAATAGAGAGCTATTCAGATTCTGCACCAGATTTATTAGCTCCATCCAAGACTTCAACCTCAAGACAATCTGGTGTAACACCACCCCTTCCTGCAGGCACTCAAAACATCTTACCATATATAGAATCTTTCTTTGTGATGTGTGAGAAGTTACATCCTGCACAACCAGGTTCTGGCCATGATTTTGGCATAACTGCGCTATCTGATGTTGAAGATGCCAGTACATCTGCTGGCCAGCAGAAAGCTGCTGGTCCTGTCTCAAAATTTGATGAAAAACATGTTGCCTTTGTGAAGTTCTCAGAGAAGCATAGGAAGTTGTTAAATGCTTTCATCCGCCAAAATCCTGGACTGCTCGAGAAGTCATTTTCACTTATGTTGAAAGTTCCCCGCTTTGTTGATTTTGATAATAAACGTGCACACTTCAGGTCCAAAATAAAGCATCAACATGATCATCATCACAGTCCTCTAAGAATATCGGTTAGAAGAGCTTACATACTTGAGGATTCATATAACCAACTACGGATGCGGTCAACTCAAGATTTGAAGGGGAGGTTAACTGTTCACTTCCAAGGAGAGGAAGGTATTGATGCTGGTGGGCTTACAAGGGAATGGTATCAGCTATTGTCCAGGGTTATATTTGACAAAGGAGCATTGCTTTTCACTACGGTGGGCAATGAGTCTACATTCCAGCCTAACCCCAACTCAGTCTACCAAACGGAACATCTTTCGTACTTCAAATTTGTTGGGCGAGTTGTGAGTACCTTCTCTAGTTGCTCGTATTGGATTAGCACACTTTTTTTTTCTACCTTTTTGTTCACTTCGTAATTAAATATTTCCAGGTTGGCAAAGCACTTTTTGATGGGCAACTCTTGGATGTCCACTTTACTCGATCTTTCTACAAGCATATTTTAGGGGTCAAAGTTACTTACCATGACATTGAAGCAATTGATCCTGATTACTTCAAAAACCTAAAGTGGATGCTTGAGGTCTGTCATATTTCAATTTTCCACATCTGTTCCTCTTTTTCTCTTAGAGGGAGAGGGAGAGTTTGTCAGTTTGCTGGGAATTATCTTTCATTGTTCATTAGAGAGATTGTTGTTTAGCACACCTTCTTTTAACTTCTTTCCTTGTTTATAATTTCAGAATGATATTAGTGATGTCCTAGACCTTACTTTTAGCATTGATGCTGATGAGGAGAAGCTGATACTGTATGAAAGGACACAGGTACTGATTTTCATTGATGCTTTCATGAAGCCCTTTGTGGTGACACTTTTTTTGGTTATAATCTATGTTCTACAAAATATGATGTAGGTGACTGACTATGAGCTGATTCCTGGTGGTCGGAATATTAAAGTTACTGAGGAGAATAAACACCAATATGTTGATTTAGTTGCTGAACATCGTTTGACAACTGCTATTCGTCCTCAAATAAATGCATTTTTGGAAGGATTCAATGAATTAATTCCTAGAGAATTAATATCTATTTTTAATGATAAGGAGCTGGAGTTACTGATAAGTGGTCTTCCAGATATCGATTGTAAGTCTTGTAAATTAATTTATATAATGTTATTTACATGAAAGAATGCTTGTTGTGCGACGTTATCTGAAAATGACCCAATCTGTGATAACTGTTTCCTAGTGGATGACATGAGGGCAAATACAGAGTATTCTGGGTATAGTGCTGCATCCCCTGTTATACAGTGGTTTTGGGAGGTTGTTCAAGGGTTCAGCAAGGAGGATAAGGCACGGCTTCTACAGTTTGTGACAGGCACCTCGAAGGTAATTCAACACCTGATATTGTAGATAATACTACTTGTAGTTTGACATTTCAAGCTGTTAACTGTAGATCAACCCAAAGGTTAATTATTGAATACTGGAATTAATATTTAGTTCACTGTGAAACTGAGAACTTGTTACTCTCTGTTAAAGCTCTGCATTTGCACTTTGTAATTTCACAGGTACCTTTGGAAGGATTTACAGCACTTCAAGGAATTTCAGGTTCACAGAAGTTTCAGATACACAAAGCATATGGCAGCGCTGATCACTTGCCTTCTGCGCATACCTGGTAATCTATCAGTCATCTGTCCTTTACTTGCAAATTTGCCTCGTGCTGCTTTAGACCTTTCTTCATTAGTAAGGAACATTTGGTTGTGATTAATGCAGTTTCAATCAATTGGATTTACCGGAGTATCCTTCTAAGGAACATCTAGAAGAAAGATTGCTGCTTGCAATTCATGAAGCGAACGAAGGGTTTGGATTCGGTTAAGATTTGAAGTAGTAATCAGAGTCATCATGTAGATAAAGATATATGTGCACCGGGATCTTATTATGGGGGTATAAGTGCTGGGCTGACGTTGAATTGATACATGTTTATATACTGTACAGTCACATATTGGCTATTGGAATGCCTCTGGCAGTTTTAAATTTGCCATCGTTTTTCTTCATTTTTCCTTTTTCTCCTACTCTCTTTCAGAATTTCTCTTTCCTTTATTAAAAGGATAAAAGGAGAGAGGCTCGCTAATGACATCCCCACATTGTTGACTTGATTCCCTCTCCTCTTTCCAGCATGTCTTACATGAAATTTAGCCATTTTACTTATTAAATTGTATCAAGTAAATTTGTTACGGGTTTTTTTCGCTCCTTTTTTCCTATCTTTCGATTTTATTCGTAAAGTTAACCAGTTTAATTAGCTTAGACTTCACACTCTCCCTCAAAGCTTACGTCTTTTCATTCTTTCCATTATGTTTGAGATAGCAAAAGATCTTTGGATTTGTTCACAGTAATGTCACATAATATCTTCACTTTTGATCTTTATATATATTGGGATAAAACGAAAAATGATAAAACAAGTTAATGGATAAATTTAAAAAATACAAGATAATGGAAAAATATTATTTGTAACAATCATTATAATTAAGAATCAGCATTAATTTACCATAAAAATGTAGTTTAATAGGCATATGATAGTTTATAACAATATTATAATTAAAAATTAGCATTAATTAACACATTTTATTTCTCGACTGTTTTAATAAAAATTCGCTAGAACATAGCCCAAAATAGGAATGGGTTAATGTAGTTCGATGAATGTTTTAACAAACATATGTAGATTGTATACTTATGTTTACTCACTTTTACTGTTATGCCCTCAAGAAAATTGAGGTAAACTTGGCATGAAATTTTTTTTGGGCCAAACTTTAATTTAAACAAAAAATGGTAACAATGAGGTAAACTTAATACTTGATTACACATTAGTATAAGATAAGATCCTTGAGAGGGAGAGAACAAAGGCTAACACAATATAAACATTACTTCCACTCCCCTATCATCTTAACCACATCTTCAACTTGCTGCTGCTCTCTCTAAGTCCTGTAGCCTGATCTCTGTTGATTTTGTAGCTGGACAAGGCTTTTCCAACAGTATTGACTGACTTTGTACTCCTTGTAATCCTAGCTAAAGCTCTAGATGTGTCAACTTGCCTCGCCTTATTTGATTCAGTTGATAACGTCTTCTTGTCAAGAAGAGAAGATGATAGTAAAAGATTGTTCTCGGTCCCTTTGCTCTGTACCTGCTTTTTTCTCCTCAACTCTCGGAGGGAATCAGTACCTTTCAATAAGTCAGACCCCATATTCCTCGTTCTGCTATTACAGTTTAAGCTCCTTAGACTTGGAGGATCCATGCCAGATATGGCTTCTGTTGTTGATGTCGCGATAGGTGTGCCTAGTAACTTCTCTGCAGAATATACTTGCCGCAGAGGCTCCTCCTGGTGTTGTCTTAACTTTTGTTCGAGTTCATTAACCTGTAATTACACAGCAAGGGATTAGTATTTCACCGTACCGTCCTAAACTTCAATTCCTACTAACATCGAGGACAGGAAGAACCTTTTGTTGATGCAGTAGAGATCCTCCACTTTCTCCCTCCATTTTCAGCTTGTTCTCAAGTTCTTTAACCTGCATCAACAGAAAAGAGACAAATGATTTCTATTTTTTATATCATGTCCAATGCCAGACAGGATTCTTTCAGGAATGCCAATCAAAGGAAAAAAAAAGGTTTTATGGCTATTTGCTTTATCAATGAATTACCAAATTTGGTTTCCACCAACCACTCTTCGCTGTATTTGTTTACCATTAGAAAATTTTATCAGAAAGGAGTCCGGAGTTGGCACAATGGTATGTATATATCTAATGGCATCAATAACAGCAATTACCAATAATTGTTGAAGTAAAAAACAATGTACAAAAGAAAATGATGCTAGCAAGTCAAAATTTTCATTGGTTACAATCACCTTTTGCTGTAGCCTCCCTGAATGAAGCTCAAACTCCCCTGTTCTCTCTTTCAATATGCCCTCAAGCTGCTTGACCTGTGACAAGTAATACAAACAATCAATTTAAAAATGCAACTTTGAGCCTCTTAACTTTATATGTATAACAATCTTTTGGACACTCTTTCTTCTTTCCCCCAATGCATCATCCCTTGGTGACACTGATAAATTAATATTCTTGCCAAGTTGGCCATATGCTTAAGTATATATCAAATTTAACAATTTGTCAATAAAGTTAAAATGTCAAAGTTTCATTGAAAGCAGAAAACCTTGCGCTGTAGAGTCAAGGACACTGTCTGCTCACACTCTTTCAGTTTGTTCTCTGCCGCCTCAACCTGTGGTGGCAATACAAGTCAAACGTCGCATACAGTTACTTAGAACAAAAAAACTAAAAGGATACAAAACCTAGCTTATTCAATTGACATCAACCTTCAGCTGAAAATTTGAGCAAATTTCTTCCTTCTCCATCATTCTTTCTGAAAGTTGCAATAACTGCCTCTCTAGTTGTCTACATAACTCTGTCTTGGATGCAAGTTGGTCTTCAAGCTCATTAAGCTTTTCTTCTTGGATTTTGCAAAGCTGATCCCTACCTTTGGCTTTACCCTCTAAGTTGTGATAGTTCTCTTCTGACTTTCTTAGAGCTTCGTCTTTTAATCTCAATTCTTGCTTTGCTTTATCAAGCTTCAATAGTTCATGAGGAATATCAGGGAAAAAAGGTACACCACACGTTCAGGCTCAAGTATGGAAAGAAATCCACTTCAACATGCTTGTTTTGTGCTTGATTCTGTAATTTAAATAAACCATCAATGAGCTTACCATTTGTTTCAACTTTTGAAGCTCAGCAGTGTCAACCTGCTTCTTTACCAGACCCAACTCAACCCCTCGAACCCGACTTGCAAAATTTAAAGAACTTAGGGTCTCACCTAAGTCCTGCTCTGAAGGGCTGATTTGTACAAACATCAAGGTTTTAGAGTCACCCCCTACAGCAGATGAATACAGGCTTTTAAAAATGGCAGATATTTAATGCTTTTGTTCCCTTCATATGATAACAAAATTAATAACTTGTCATCGTTGCAAGTGCACCATATTCCATATAAAAGCATTCACTTGCGAACTCTGAGCACTGTTGTAAATGTGCTCATACATACAAGAGCAAATAACCTCGATTTTTTTAGGAGTCTAAACTTGAACATTTTCACAGTTGACTAATAGGATATTCAAATAAGACCCATCAACATATGACTGCCTACCTAAGGAATCTTGGAGTAGATGTGTGAGCTTGGAATTCCTGCAAAACCCACTAGATAAATATCTGAATACTTGAAAACAGCAATAGACATCTGGAATACATCGAGATGAATAGCAAACCTATATGGGATGTGGATGCTTTTGGTTGCCAAAGCAGAAATCACATCTCCTAAAGCGGAAAGTGATCTGTTGATGTTTTGGGCTTCCTTGAGCCGTTCTCCTTGCACCTCAGTTTTTGCTAGCCTTTCACTACCGGCCAAATCCACAAGCCATAGCTTGCTCTTGGTGCATTCACCACTGATCAAATTCTTTGCTCTTACCAATATGCAGAGCATGCTACAAAAACAATAGATATATGAAACCAACATTGTCTTCTATAACATACAAACTCTTTCCTCTTATCATTTTATACAGATTGAGAGAACAGGAACAACATTTGCAATTAAAACAAATATGAAAATGGTTATAACAGAGACCATAGCATACTGTAGCAAAGACCACTAATTTGCTTTCTGCCTCAAGCGAAAACCAAAGCTACTCATAACAAAAAGGTTCTTGGCGATACTAACCAATGAGATCGGCTACTATGCTCATTCACATTATTTGACCCTACAGCTCTTGCACTGTTTCCAGCCTGCAGAACATTCCAAACCTCCTTAATATTTTCAACTTTGGCTTCCACTATCCCAGGCACATGATGAAACCCCTCTGAAGCCTGCCTTATCTCCAGCCTAAAACATAGAGCAGATCCAATCAATAGTAATGCCTACAGTTATGACAAAAATACACCGAGCTGAAACTAATTGCATTGTATGAATAAGATTTTGACTTTACTTTTTTGAAGTTGGCGCAGTTGCAAGCAAGTCTCTAATTTGCTCATTGTAGACTTCAAGCACACTAACAAATATACTGTATGTATAAGTTTCTTTCCGCTCATCAACAATTTCAAACAACTGCTCTAAGGTTCTATAGTTCACTCCTCGATTTTGCTCTGTACCTTCCATGGTAAAAGTCTTCCCTGTCCCTGTCTGCCCATATGCAAATATACAAACATTGTAGCCATCTAACACTGACGTTACCATAGGGGAAGCATCTGCAAACACATCAACTGTACCAGCAGAAAATAATTTGAATTAAAATACTTTTTTTTTTCCTTATTCTCCGCTGCAAATCAATTCCATGAGTTATTGCATCTTCAAAGATCCTTCAGCCTTTGACAAAAACCCAGTCAAACTAATGGGATTAACAAATTAATTTGGTTAAGATTTTTTTTATTTTGCTACAAACCTACACAGTCAGAAAATCAATGATACTGAAGCATGCAATTTCCAGATTTCCCAACAGGTAATAAAAAGCAATAAATGACATTTCAGCTGGAGAGATAGCCAAAGGAGGAAAAATAATCTGACCTGTTGGGATATATTTCCTAAAATACTAAAAAAAAATTAAGCTAAAGAAAATCTATTTATAGTATTCACTGTTCTTTTTGTTATTAAATATACTGTGAATTTGGGTGAGGTACGCTTGACAGAAAAGTTTGGTGCCTTTAATTCTTTAGTTTTGTTATTTAGAGAGCCTATTTAGAGGTCTTAACCTTGATCATCCTTAGGTGTATAAACTCGATCAAATTTGAAATTTTTCTTCATCGAGCTGCCTGTAAGTATCCCCATATCTCCATCCTTAGCTGCAGTAAAATCTACAACTGTTGCATACCCAGCTGAAGCCTCCCCCTTACTTAATGGACGGCACCTACAGAACACTCTAATGTTTCCTGAAAATTATGATTATATAAGCAAGCTTGGGTCAGTTCACTTTACAATTCAAATATGAAAAGTAAAATGCAAAAGTTTTAAACATCAAAACATGCCTTTTGCTTCCTCTATCTGGTTATGCAGCTTTCTCCTCACCGCCTGCTCCTCATTGAACTTCAATTTTAAATCTTCACACTGTGCAACTGCAGTTCAGATAATTATTAGGTATAGAGGCTTTTACGAAAAAATTAGTTGCTTCGTAATGCATACTCACCCAATGCTT